GATAACATGGGAGAGCGTGGGGGGGATTGAGCAATCCCTCGTGGTGGGGCACACGGGGAGGCTCCGGGGTGCATGACCTCTGACCTGCTGGCCCTGCGGGGGGTGGGGCGCAGGGCAGCCTGTCCTGCCTGTTGGCTGCGCTGCACACAGGAGGCCGCTGAGGGGCAGGGTCGCAGGCCACACTGCGTGGGCTCCAGGCTGCCCGCACCCCACTGCATCCAGGGAGCACGGGGCTGTGAGCCCAGGGCCCGGCACATGGGAGGTGCTCAATAAATGTGGAATGACCAACTTTGGGCCTCTTCCCAAATCTATCCCTGTTCCCAGTTTTCACTCCCCTACGCTGGATCCCCAAACCTTCCCAGAAGCCCTCTTCTTCCTCCCAGGGCTCAGCCTCACCCCTCCCCTGCTCCTCGCCAACTGACAACCGAAACCAATCCTGGGAGCCTTCCTCCAACCCTGTGGTCTCTGCCCCTCTCGGGTGAGGGTCCCTGACGTCCAGGCCCTGGACATTCAGAACTGGTATGAAGTTGGGGCCAGAGGGCTCTCTTGAAGCCCAGATCTGATGCACTCTCCCTGCTTACACCCTGCAAGACGACTGGCAGCAGGCTTCAAGGCCTCTGGCCCCACCCAGCCTGCCTCCACAGCGGCCTCCTTTGCTTCCCCTACCCCCACCACTGGCTCTCAGCGAGGGAATGGGCCTTGGACAGAGGAGTCCAGGGTTGGGGTCAGCTGCTCCCCGAGGGAGCACAAAGCACCCCCCACCCCACCGCCCCCCCCAGCTGCGGGCTGCTGCCTCCCCGCGATCAAGCCCCAGTGCTGGCTGAGCATGGCTAATTAACGGCACGACTCTGTTATCAGCCAAGTGCTAATTACTCTTTTGAATCAGAGCTGCCTGTGTGGAGGCTCCTGGAGGCCCAGCAGGGGGTAGGGGGAGCCGGGGAGCCCGGGAGGCTTGACCTCATCCCTCTTCACACAGGCCCTATCTAGTGCTCTCCTCGAGCCTCTGCTGGATGGCACCCCTCCTCCTGGTGGACTCCTACTCTCTCTTCAAGACCTTGCCCCCGCGCCCCCTCAGGGAGAGGCCTCTTCTCACCTGTCATGGCCACAGAGGACGACATGGCTAACCTAGGAGCGGAGAGGCTGTGAGCAGGACTGGCCGTGGTCCCCAGAAGGGGAGCTGGAAATGCTAAATCCCAGGTAAAGGCAGAGGAGGCGGGGAAGGCCCGATGCCTGGATCAATCCGAGGGTGAGTTGGCACTGAGAGGGTCCTGGCTCAACTTGAGGGGGCCTCTGAGTCCCCAGAATGGGGGCAATGAGCCCCATTCCCATCCCACCAGGTCCTGGGAACCAGGCCCCACCGACTCTCAAGCCCCTGTGGCCCAAGGGACAAACGTGTCACCACCCTGTGCACACTGGGCCCAATACCCTTCTTCTTCACCCCATTCCCACACACACACACCGGAGAGCCACAGCCTGACAGACTGCCCTCCCTGAGCACACACGGAGATACACACACACCCCAGACACCAAGGTCCATGCACACACCCAGCTGTCGACAGCCACAGATACCCGGAACACAGACCCATGCCCAAACACGCACCCACCCACACACACGGGCAGGGCAGGAGGCCTGGGAGAACAGAAGCTGCCCCTTCTCCTGCCCCGGGCCCCCAGGGCTTCCCGTTTACGAGACTTTATCTATCAAAAATATATTAACCCAGAAGCCTGTTTCCATCAGAGTCTCGATTCCAGGGACATTTCCAGATAAGCCTTATCTCATTGCTGGTGCATTAGCCCCGCTGGTCGGGGGCCTGCCAATCATGGCCACCCCTCCTGCCCCAGCCCGTGGCAGGATGCCTGCCCATGACTTCATTCTGTATGGGAAGGCGGGCAGGCGGGGGCGGGGGGAGAGTTGGGCGGGGCACTGCTGCCCCTTGCCCCCCACCCCATCCCTCTGCCCAAAGCAGGGCCCCAGAAGGCACCTCTTTCCAAGGACACACCCAAGGCCTGAGGCGAGGGACGTGGGGATGTCTGGAATCACGCAGAGCCTGGATTCAAGTCCCAGCTCTACCTGAGGCAATGGCTATGGTCAGCCGAGCCCCGGTCCCCGCCACCTCCCACATCTACAGTTGAGGCAATGCTTCCCAGACCACCCTTACAGGTAGAAGCGCAGACTCAGCAAGTTGATGCGTGTGAGGATGGCTGCAGGGGGCTTGCACTCTCTTCTATAGCACCTAGAGCTGGCTGGGGAGCCAGGGGAAGGGGGACACTGCTGTGGGGACGCCCCTGGACGCTGCTGGCCCCCACCCCTGCCCACCCACCCTGGCTGCGCTTCTCCTTCAAGGGCTGTGTCCTGGCCTAACCCGGCTAATGGGCGCTCAGGTTTCTTCTGATGCCAGGCCTGATAGAGGCCTCTCCCCGAGCAGGCTGTCAGCCCGCACTCTCTGGGGGCCCTGAGGCTTCTGGGAGTCACACACTGGGTGGCTCCTCCTCTCCTCCGTGCCTCAGCGTCCGCCGCCTGAGTCTGCCTCCTCTCCTGTCTGCAGGCGAGATGGGAGGCAGGGGGAAAGGTGTGGGTGGATGTGGGCATGTCACAGAGGTCCTAGAAAAATGGCCAGTTTGGAGCAGAGCTGGGCCCTGGGGCTGTCTGCACCACTCCTGAAGGGTTCGTGGGCCCCTCACCTCCCAGTGGTGAGACCATGTCTGCTGGTCCTGCTTCCAGGGCTGCAGGTACTACGACGGGCAGCAGGGTGCCCAGTACCCGAACAACCCCACAAAGCAGCTGCTTTTGTTCTCATTTTTATACATGGGGGCACTGAGGCACAGAGGTCAGGGGACTTGCCCAAGATCACACAAGCAGAGGGGCCAGGATGAACAGGTGGTGGCTTGCGTGCACTGTTTCCCCTCCCCCATGGATCTGCTAGTCCCTGCTTAGTGACCCCTCTATGCCTGCTGGGCAGTGGAGTGGGGGGCTCTGCTGGGTCACATAACCCCTCATTTGGAGAGAGGGACAGTGATATGCCCAAGGGTAGGGCAGGACCCTGCCCCTGAGGCCAGGGCGACTCTCCATCTCAACTGGCAGGGACCCCCAGAAGGGGCCCGGAAGGAGGGGTCAGCTTCACATCCCTTGGTCAGGTAGGACTTGGCCTGGCTGGGGAGTACCCAGCACTCTGGCCTCAGTTCTCCACCCATTGAGGATGATGCTGGAGGGAGTTTCCTCATCTAAGATGCAAGGCCTGGGGAGACCCCAGCTCCTCCCAGCTGTGTCTACTCCAAAGGGTTGATAGCCACGGGAGGTGACCAGCCTGGGACCTGTGCCCTGAAGCCCTGTGGGAAACCCTAGCTTTCTGCCTCACTGGCCTGGAGTGGCTTCAGCCACGTGGCACCACCTCCCTGGTGAGATGGTCTGTCCCACAGGGGTGGGGGTTAAATGAGAGTGGGCCTGGAGCCCGGTCTGCAGAGGAGTCAGGGCCAGGCAAGAAGTACCACTGCTGACGCTGGAGAGGGCCCCTCAGGCGGTGGCAGTGAGGCTCCAAGGGGCCAAGGGACAGCCGGCTCGAAGCACCCCCCCCACACCCGCCCACTCCCAGTTCATTCCCAGCCCAGGGGGACATGGGGGCTGGGCCTGGACTCGCCCGGCCTACCCAGACCCCCACTGCCACTCTCTGCCCTCAGCTCCAGGAAGGAACCACTCCAAGTCACTGGACTGCTACTGCCCCGCTAATACTTTCTTTGTTTTTAAGATTTTATTTATTTATTTGACAAAGAGAAAGCACACAAGCAGGGGGAGCAGCAGGCGGAGGGAGAGGGTGAAGCAGACGTCCCGCTGAGCAGGGAGCCCGATGATGCGGGGCTCAATCCCAGGACCCTGAGATCATGACCTGAGCCGAAGGCAGACGCTTAACTGACTGAGCCATCCAGGCGCCCCGCCCCCCCATTAATATTTTTGATGCCACTTTTGCAAATTGAAGCATAACGCACCAGGATGAAAGGGCAGCCTCTGCATCTGTTTGAAGGCCAAATAAAGAAGCGCTGGAACATCTGTACATCCTACAAAGCTTTGATTTCTCTCATTCAGTTAGTTTCGCCATCCCGCCCTTTTCTGAGCATCCACAGCTCAGGCTGCGGGGTGGGGTGGCCTGTGGGCCAGGGTGGAGGAGCAAGGGTAGGGCTTCCTGGGCTTTGGAGGGGGCTGTGCTCGTGGTCCCTGGCCCACAGGGTGCTCTGCACAGTGTTCTGTCACCTGCCCTCACCTCCACACCTTGGGGAGTATGGGCCCCAAACTCGAGGGCAGAGGCCTAGGGACTGCTGGTGTGGGGCTGGGGAAGCAATCCCTCCAGCCTGCCTCTGCCCTGACGCCCTGGCCGGGCACCTTGTGGCTCCCCAGCACTCCATGGATCCCCTTCCTGGCAGAGCCCTCTCTGGACTTGGCTGTCCAGAGAACCACCCCCCCATGTCCCTCAAGGCCCAGGAGACCCCCATGGGCCACCAGCCTGGCCTAGGGGCCTGACACCCTGTGGACTCCTCAGCCCACTCCCACTGGGCTCTGAGTTCTGGTCCCTCCAGCTCTTCTCTGGCCGGGAACCCTGCTGAACCCCTTGACATTCCCCTTGGGAACAGGCATGGGGGGGCCCCTCCTGGTGAAATCACAGAGACCAACAGAGTGGGCAGACACCATGGGACATTTATTTGCAGCTGGTTAAGGGCCAGGCCACCTGGGGCAGGGTGTGGACTGGCCCTCCCATGGCTGCCAGTGGGGCGGCCTGGGAAACACTGGCCCCAGGTAGGTGCAAGGGTGCCGGGACAGACCCTCTGGGCCCCAGCCCTGGTGTCACTGCCACCGCACCCCCCCCAGGCTTTTCACCGGGGCTTAGCGCCAGGCCTAGGGCTTGTGTCTGCAGGGTCATGGGGAGGGACATACTAAAGGAGGTTGAGGCACATCTGGTCGGACACTTGGCAATGCAGCCCAGCCCAGGGCCTGGGCAGGGTCACTGGAACACTCAGGGAGACTGGACCATGCGCTTGTGTGTGTCAAAGACGTAACGCTTGAAAGACAGGCTGAGGGCCACGTGCTGCGCAGGCTCGGACCGCTCAGCCAGCTCCTCCAGCTTGGCTGCTTCTCGGCCGGCCCGGCCCCGCTTCTTGAGGGTGGGTGTTAGAATCTTCTTGGACTCGGAGCTGAGGCCACCTGCAAGCACAGAAGGAGAGCCTATTACTCCGCCACTCCCTAGCCTGTGCACTCACCACCCTGGATGGGGACCCACTCAGACCAGCTCTTTACAAGCAGAGAGAGTCTCCTAGGCCCATCCCTCACGCTCTCCTAGGCTGAGCCAGGACCCCAGTGCTACCCTGAGCTCACCCTCTTCTGCCTCCTTCCCCAGCCAATGGCCCTGAGGCCTAGGGTCCACTCTGCCACCTAAATCCCTACATTCCAGCCCCTCCCCCACCGTGCTAGTCCATGTCATGGGCCTGTCCAGCTTGGAGCTCAGCAGGGCTCCCCACCTCCATCTCCCAGCCCCCTGGGAGAGGGGAGCCCCCACCCATCCACTCTGCACTCAGGCTCCTGTGCGGCTCAGCCCCACACTTGGTGGCCATGTCCTTCTGCTCTAAATGGTCCTGTTGTTTCCCAGAACACTCACGCTAAAACACATACACTGGAACTTGACATTTGAGGCTCCCTGGGCTAGGTGTTCTCCAATTGCCCCTGGAGATCCACTCTCTGCTCCTCTGCGTGCTTGGGAGGCTGACCTCTGCAGACAGCATGTGGGCTCCTGTGCCCTCTGGCTTCTGGTTGGGTTCAGCCAATGGGAGCCCCAGCAGATCAGAGGGTGGGAGGAGAGAGCAGCTGGGGTATTGATTTCTGTTCCCTAAGGCCGGATCTCCTGTTGGGGAGCCTTCTCCCTGGGCTTTTGCAAACGGGGTTCCTCCACCCCCATGCAGGGGTGAGAGTGGCCCCCACTGGTTTCCATCACATCTTACCGGCTCCTTTAAACAACCACCCTCTGTTCACTCCCTCCACTATGTTCAATATATGGACTTTATATTCACCCTCTCCAGCCAAATGATTGAGTGGAAATCAGTTTCTTGCTAAGACCCTAAGGCTAACCCCAACTCTCCAGGCCCCTTCACCCATTGCTTTTGTGCATTCCCTGCTGCCTTGAGGAACACGTGGCCAGTCCCGGGCTCCCTGCAGTCACACTTATGAGCCTCTGCATAGGCTGTCCCCTCTGCCTGGAACGCCCTTCCCCCACCCCCCCCACCCCCCCGCCAATGTTAGAAGTCTCACTTTTCTTTGAGCACCAGGCTGCAATCCTTGAGCACCAGGCTTTCTCCGGGGCTTGTCTTTATAAGGAAGCTGCTTGGTAGCAACATGGTGCAGCGTCTTTGGGGGCTGCTGGCCAGGGTGAGTGCTCGGCTGCTTCGAGCATGGGTGGGGAGGCTCTGGCTCCCCCAAGGCTGTGGCCAGACCTCAGACCAGCTCTGTACAAGCAGAGAACTCTGGAACAGGCTGCTCACAACCCTGCTGAGGGAACCTGGTGGGAGCAAGCTGGCAAGGCTGTGGGGGTGGGGCGGAGCAGCGGGGGTGCCATGAGACTTGCATGGGGCAAGGAGGCCCAGTGAGTGGCAGCTCCAGGAGTGACTACTGGGAGAGCTGGGTACACAGCCTTCATTCCCTGGCAAGGGGCAAGTGAGGTGGAGCCCAGTCCACACTGTGCTTGCCAAGAGGGGTCCTGGCTGGCCTGTGTCCCCCCACTTTCTTCCAATATGCACAGAGGGGCTGTATTGGCCAGTGGACCTAGAGGCTGAGTCCAAAGCTGGCGGGAAGCTGGGGGTAGGCACCAGGCAGAGGGCTCCCTTCCCTCTGATCTGTGTCTGCCAGTGCCTAAAGGGCTCCCTTCCCTCTGATCTGTGTCTGCCAGTGCCTTAAGGGCATCCTCCTTTGCCCCAAGATTGGCCGGGTGTTAGCGGTCTCCCTGAGAAGCCAGATGTGATGCTCTGGTGTCAAGCTTCAGTGGCCAGGAGGACCTTTGCTCATCATGTCTCCACCAGGTGGGGAGCTCTGGGAGGCAGGGGTGTGTAGATTATTCTGCTCAGACCAAGCACTTATGCATGTTTGCTGAAGCAACCCCTTCATCTTACAGAGGAGAAATCGGAGCCCCAAGGAGGGCACGGACTCCATCCAGGCCCCACAGTGAGTCAGGAAGAGCGAGGGTTTGAACTCTGGGCTTGCACCTGCTGGCAAATGCAGGTTACTGCTCCCAAGCCCATCACTCAGTGGGGGTCCACCTTTGGCAGACTCCTGAAGATGATCCTGCAGGGGAATATAGGCTGTGAGAGCACCCTGGATGTTTAGAAAGGTGACCAGGAGGCTGCTTTAAGGCACGCTGGAGAGTCAGCCAGGGATCCTCCTCTAAGAAGGACTCGGTCTCCCTTCCACAGGCAGAGGTGAGACTCCTGGCCTCTCAAAGCCTGCACCCCCCAGGAAGGCCGGACTCGTGGCTGATGTGAATGGGGCTCTGGGATGCTAGGGGCCTGCGGGACCCGTACCAAGGGGAGCCGTCCTCCAGCTGGGCAGCACGGTGTCTGATTGCAGGCCCCACACCCAGCCGGTCAGCGTACCTCTGGGATGGGGCGTGGGAATGGCCCCGGGCCAGGCCCCTAAGCTAGTGCCAGGCCCACAGGTATCTGCCTCCCCGAATTGGAGCCCTGGACTTCCTTCTGCAAACAGAGAAGGTGGCTGGCACCAGACCCTGACAAATGGCATGGGCAGCCTGTCTCCCTCTGGTGCCAGGAGGTCTGATGGCTGAAGAAGCGCGGGGCTCCCCGGCGTCTGCGCCGGGCCGGGGAGACAGGCGTGGCCCAATCGGCAGTCCATCTCGCCCGCGCTGGCTCCCATTACACACGGTGCATACCTCACACTGCCCAAAGCAGGCAGACCCAGAAAATCTCTCTGGCACTGGCGAAGATGTGGCCATTTAATTGCTCTTCTGAGATGGTCAGGCTCATTTTCCTCCGCTCCGTTTGGGGGTGGCTTGGACACAACGCCCAGAAAGCCTCACCAACGGGTGAAGCTGTGGATTTGGAGCAAATGTCCCTGGGAGCCGCTCTGTTTTACACTGGCCTTTCTCCCCCTTAGCCAGCCAAAGGAGGGAAGTGAAGGGCAGCTCAGGATGTTGGGGGTCGGAGAGGCTGCCCACGCTGAGCTTCTCCCAACCTGCCCCTGTGTCTTTCCCTGGAAAACATTCACACAGTGCTCCAGGACTGGAAACAATGGTGGTGAACACACAGACCAGGGCCTGGCCCCCACGGAGTTTACGAGTCTGAGAAGGGGCAGAGAGAAGATAGGCCAGCAAGATAATCTAGATAGCCACCAAGGCAATCAAGGAAGCAAAACTGCCGTGTCACCAGGAGGGGAGGGCGGCCAGGTTGTATGTGCCCAGGGCTGGCTTTTCTGAAGAAGAGTTCTGAACGGGGGGGGGGGGGGGGGTCCAGGTGACAGGGACTGGCTGCATGGGGATCCTGGGCAAGGGTCCACCGGCAAAGGGAATCTGAGTGCCCAGTTTTGGCAGGCCAGGGTGGGGGAGGGCATGAGCATGATGCTTGAGGACGTGCAGCTGCGTGCTGGGAAGGCTGCAGGGACACCACAGCTTACCACGTCCATGTAATGCAACCTGTGTGCCAGGTTCTTGGGGGCCCAAACCAGGGAGGGTCCCAGAGACCTTGGGGGACTCAGAGTGGTGAGGGAGGCGGCCAAATGCCAACTGTCCACCTGCCTGGCGTCCAACAGGGCTCCTGACACTTCCTGTAGGCCCCGGGGAAACAGAGGCAAGCAGGACTGTCCTGCTCTCATGGAGCTACCATCCTCTCCTACGGACTGCCCTCTGAAGCACCCTCTGGTAGTCCACATAGGTCAGGCAGCTGCGTGTTGCCCCTTCTGGGATGGTCCCTGACCTGGGGAGCATGCTCGGAGCTCCTGGCCTCTGACTCCTGCACCCCTCTCCTCCCACGTGACCTGGTCCATATTGCGTCCCCTCACCCCAATACACCAGGTGCATTCCCACCTCAGGGCCTTGGCATTCACTGGTTCTTCCGCTGAAAGATCCGCCCCAGGAGTTCCACTGGCTCCCAGTTCCACCGCCTAATCGCTGTGCAAATGTCACCTCCCGGTGAGGCCTTCCTGACCACCTTCACCCCTGCTGCCCCAACCCCTCCTACCCAGCTCTATTTTTTCAAAGCTATTATCACCTTCCAACACATCGCTGTGAGTTCCTCATTCTGCTGTCTGTTGTCTGTCCCTGCCAAAATACAACTTCTACCATGGCAGGGATTTTGTCTCTCTATGCACGGCTGGAGGCCCAACACCTAGAATGACCCCTGGCTCAGAGAAGGGGCTCGAAGAATACTACCAAGGAATAAGCACCGGCTATGAAGCTTCCGCGATGGTCACTGCGTGGACCCAGCAACCCATCCTAGGCATTCAGTCCTAACAAGGAAACAGATGTGTACACACGGATGTCCCCACGCATGCAGGCTCTTAGCCCTCACAGCACAGTGGGGAAGATGCCGAGGCCCAGGCCAGTAACTGGCCTCAGGCCACACAGGTCTGGAGAGGCAGAGCTGGGCTCGGTGAGGCGACTTGGTGCCAAGGTCTGGGTGCACCACCGAGGCCTGTGAAGTTAGAGGGGCGCAGAGACCCACAGGAGGGCAGTCAGGATAGGACCGGCGTGCATTTGCTATGGCAAAATATTCCGGGAGATGAAGTGACACCTGAGAAGTGCTTAAAGTCACACAAAGACAAACTTACAAGTTAACTGGAAAAAAAAAACCCCACAGGAATAAAAATTGTTGAAAGAGTTCTGCTCTAACTCTGGGTTGCAGAAAGAAAAGACTAGAAGACTATCCACTAGGCTGTCAGAGATCAGGAGTAAGTTACAGGCAAAGCTTTCTTCTTCCATCTACTTTTCTCTGCTTCCCAAGGTTTCTTTCTTTCTTTCTTTTTTTTTTTTAAGATTTTATTTATTTGAGAGAGAGAGAGAACAGGAGCCAGGGGAAGGGCAGAGGGAGAGGGCGAAGTAGACTCCCCACTAGCCTGACATGGGGTTCGATCCCAGGACCCTGAGATCATGACCTGAGCTAAAGGCAGACGCTTAACTGACTGAGCCACCCAGGTGCCCCTCTGCTCCCCAA